GTTAGTGCTGTTTGAATTTTTTTTTTATAGTGTTAAAGTTACAATCCTTTTTATTATGATAACTGTTGTGAGAGATCTGAGCATGCCAACTGGTACCATGTCAATGGCAGCAAAAAATTTAAGATACAAGTATTGGTTAAGTTTTATTAAGTTTATTAAAGGAATATTTAAATTTGAAAATCTGTATTTTTTTATATAAAAAGTAAGAAAATCTCCATTACATTTAATGCAAACAAATAATCTAACATACAAGAAAAAAATTCAAGTAAAGTTGGTATCTTTAAAAGATATTGAGCAAAACACAAATTATGATGCCAATATAAAACAAAATGCATTTCTACCATTTATGATTAAAGGAAAAATATCAGGTATTAGAAATCTTTAAAATATATTAAAACAAAACAAACAAACAATGCAGGTATATTTTCTTTAAAATAAACATTGCAAGCATGATATTTATTTTTAGCTTCATACACAGGATAAATTTAGGATTTATTTTTAAAAACAAACATTATTTTATTGGAGTTCTTGGCAACTGTGGTTGCCAAACAGAATTACACTTTTATACAGTGACAACATGAGTCTTCCTTAGAGAAAGGATATTAAGTTAAAAGAGTGCCAGAATCAAGTAGAGTACGCAATATCTGCCAATTTTTCAATGTTTCTGTTGAATTAGTACTGGAGTCATCTTCATTTCAAATAAAAACAGGACTTAATTAAGTACGGCTTATAAGTGCCTTTCATAATGAAATTTGACACACCTTTTAGATTTTGCCTCTGCTTAGTCTCTTGGTTGGTTGCCAGACACTGTGTCGGACAAATGTACCTTTACATACTCCGCCCATCCTTCCATGTACCTACCCTTCTCCCAGTAAGCTAAGCGGAATACGCAACATTGCAATTACTTTTAATTGTTTTTTTCTTTCTTTTTTTTTTAATATACCATTGTATATATTTTTAGGGATGATTACAACCTTTTTTAACCTGTAATGACCTTTTTATATACCATCACAAATTTTGATATTGTACAAATGGTTAGTCCAAGCCATGACTGCCTCTTGACAGTTTGCATCCAGGCCAGCAACACGACATGTAACTCGCTCGTGCTCAAGAAAGATAAAAGAAATTAGGATAAATGACACATACTTTTACACTTTCCCATTCTTGCACTCATGAAAACACTTGACACTTCATGCACAAATTCTCAAACACACACAGACATTCACAAGTCAACAACACAAACAAGCACTGATTCTCTGTCACAACCCTGTGGTATTCCACCATGTACCACAACAAAACACATATACACTCCAGACACACTCTTACTTCTGCGTCTTCTTTGTGGTGATACTGGTGCTAATGTTACCACTGTCCCTTACTGTCTCAAGTATCCATGCATAACTTGCACCAAGACCATCAAATTGGGCCAAAGTGTCATTCAGTGCGACAACTGTTGTCAGAGATCCATGCATTCCGACTGGTACCATATCAGCTGCATCTGGTCTCTGGACTATTAACAATAGTATTGTACATCTCTGATGGATGTGGCCTACTTAATTCACCATATAACTGAGCTCCTTTTCCTATTGCTCTAGGCCTTCTCTTGACTCTTGTACCCCATACTCATTTTGAGCTCCTTAACTTCCTGCTCCAACTGCTGCTTTACCCTCCTCATCCCTTCCCCTCTCTTCTTTCCTTTTCTTCAAATCCTCTTCTCATTTCCACCCATCCTATGCTGCTGCCTCCCTCTCTTCCTCCTCCTCCTCAACCCTACCCCCTCCTGCCTCCTTCCCCACAGCTCCCACTTTTTCCTCCCTCTCCTCTTCCCCCTTTGTTGTCTCCAAACAAAACATATTTAGTTATCACACACTTTCAATCCATTTTCACACAAGAAGCCATCAATACACCCGACATGCCAGATAGCCCTTACCCTCCAATTCCTCCACTACATATTAACCCATTGGCACCGGGTGTCACGTACGTACATGCCATGGCTGTTGTGGACCAAACGCCGGGGGCATCATGCCATGCCCATTCCCGCGCTACTGGCTCGTCGGACGGAGCTTGTTTTTCTCCATTAGTAGCGGCTTCATTTATATGGTAAAGATTTTAGGCAATGGCACCTAAAGTGAAGGTAAACCTTCAAAATTTTAATATTTTTATAAATTTTAGCAAAATAAAAGCTTTTAGGTGCTATATGTCGCTTGCAAACTACCGATCGAGCCGGGCGCAAACAGGGGAAACTGCCAGTGCGCGCCAAAAAGCCGGTGCATATGTAATCTTGCCAAAAATTTCACCCGTCGCTGATGGGTTAACTGATGTCCTTCAGAAACTGCTGATAACACTGGACTCAAACAAAGCCACTGGACCAAATCAAATCCCTGCCTTAATCCTGATGTCCTCCTCCCTTTCCCTTAATCCTATCCTACAATCTATTTTCACCCTCTTGTCTCAAACATCTTACCTGTAGACTGGCTGTGTACAAATACCAATGCTTTTTTCAAGACATGGAACCGTACAGAACCAACAAACAATTGCCCCATCTCCTTCACACTGATCATTTGCAAAATATTTGAATCTGTAATAGGCAAACACATCATGAACCACATTGAGCCTCACAACATCCTTACAGACCCACAACACATTGCCCAATAACTAGACTACGGTGACACTAAACAAGTTGATGCCATAATGCTCAACTTTGCTAAAGCCTTACCAAAGTCCCCTACGGAAGACTGACACTTATATTAAGGTATTACAGAATCACAGAACTAATTCTTCACTGGATCACTGCTTTTCTGATGTTTAAGACACAACATGTCTTGCTTGATGGTGCATCTTTTGACTGTCCTTGTTTCTTCAGGTGTTCCACAAGGAACTGTTCTTGGCTCCCTTCTTTTCCTTCTATATATGAATGATCTTCAGCTATCCACCTGTAACTCTGCTGCTAGACTTTTTGCCGTGTACATTATTATTATTATGTATTTTTTTTTTTTATTATTATTATTATTTTTTCTGTTTTTACCAATTAACCCGCTGGATCCAGTTGTGTCATGGAAATCATGGTACTGAAAATACAGGCAGTGGGTTACATAAGTAGCCAACCACGGGCGTGCGGCACACAGGCCGGGTGCGTGTTAACACCCATGAGTGGTGACAAGACTGTGCCTCTCCTTTGCAAAGTTATTTTGTGTAATTTTTTTTTTGTCTTTTTTGAAATATTTGTCTTTTGATTTGCTTTTTCCAGATTGTAATAGATTATTTTCCTTGCGCAGACTCCATATTATATATGTGTAGTGAATAACGCAGTGAGAAAAAGAAAAAAAAAAAATACGTTTGGTTATTTGTGTTGTATATCTTATTTTTTGTGATTTTCAGTTTTCTGTAATACATCCAGTGCCGCTGGTCACAGCAGCCAGGAATACAGTGTGCAGTATAGAAATGGCATCCTCTCTTGAACCGGTACTCTTCCAGTCACGGCTTACACACATTACATTCCATATTTGTTTATTGATGGGAATAATGTTAAAGGGAGTCTTTTCTGTCACCCTGGCCTTCTCTCATGACGGCAAGTTCGCATCACCCAGCCCACGGCCATTTTGTCCAATGATGGCATGTTCAGATCACCTGGCCTGCAAACCAGATTTTTCAGTAATGGGACAGTAACATCATCTGGATTGTAGGGGTCAACACTGAAGATGACTGTAGACTCCAACTTGACATAGATCAACACTAGGGCAGCCATGTTTTTTACACACAATTTTATGCATACACTGCTATTCTAACTCTCCTAAAAAAAAAAAAAGTTGAACATCGACCAGCTTAAGACAAGAAGACAAACACAGATTTACAATCTTGTACAAGATCACTAACCTTATGGACATTAACAAACAAGAATACCTGTAAGAAGCACTCACATTGTACTTGGAATTCATGTAAGAGTAAGTTCCTTACATACCACACCCACACTCTTACAAGCACTCTCTCTTCCCATGTACTATATGTGCCTGGAACAGGCTACCTCAGTACATCATAGAAAAAGAAAAACATAAAAACTTCTCTGACAAATTAAACAAACGTATAACAAAAAGAGCGCCTTCACAAACACAAAGACTATCACTTTTGCCTTAATTCTTTTCTCCACCCCCAGCAACCAACCATATATACTTGATATATGCTTACCTGTACTATATGCATGATTGAGATTGAGATGCAATGTTTATCCAAGGTATATTGAATGGTACTCATTTTTTTCAACTTTGACTTTTTTCCATGTAAATAGGACATACATAATGGGTACTTTTTTCTACTGTACCAGAAAGAATGCTTTAAACAGATATTAAAGGGACTGTCCCTAAACTCATTGGGGGTAGTTGTGTCAGGAGGGTCAAAATTGAGTTATAACTAGTTCCAGACTCATATACAAATGTAGAGTTACCCATTTGAATATAAATTCCTGCCAACAAAAACTAGGCAGTATAGGAAATATATCATTCTGAGCTAGAGCAGTGCTGCATCAGCAATTTTTACAAATGTATATATTCCTTACTGGAATGAAAATCAAACATTCTATTTTGACATTATCTACTGAGATGGGTCATGGAAGTACAAAAGTGTCATTTGATAATTGATTTCTCCCAATGTTAAGGATTTATTATATAAAAAAGAAAACTAAACATCAACAAAACTTTCATTTGTTTTACATGAATGTGGAAGGTATAATTTAACTTCCTGACATAAACATCATTTCTGAAACTTTAGGGTTTGGCAATAAGACATAAACTATGGTGAGCCTCTATTTTGAAAAAAATAAGCAATGCCAGTCATTTGTTTACATAAGGGAGTGAGCCATTTGGCTCAGCACTGGCTCTGAGAGCCTTGCAGGAGTCCTTAAGAGCCCAAGTAATTGAGGAGACAAAAAAGTTGTATGACGTGGCTACTTTTTAGTAAATATTTGATCAAAAATATAAAGACTAAAAAGCCATTTAGAATGATATTTA